ATGCTGAAGACAGTCTTGTTGCTCTAGAATTACCCAGAATACTTGGTACCTCCTGGATGCCTCTTACCTCGACGCTGGCTCCCGTGTGCCAGGAGGTCCCGATGAGTCTGGGGGTTGCATGATGGCCTGGGTTTTTCATGTTTACTAATGAAGGCACGAGCTGTGCCTGTAAGAGGTGAGATGAATCGTCTCTGCAGGCCAGGGAGGACGGGAATGCCACAGAGAAAGAGTAACTCAGGCCCCCGTGGGTGTCTCCCAAGCTGCCTGGAGCCCCCTGAGCTGCTTTCTTCTCCATACAGAAGGCAGGGAATCTGAGCTCTCATGGGATTCTTTGCGCAAATCAAACGCCCCTGTGGGGGAATCTGAGAGCTCCCATGAGATTCTCTGCACAAATCAAAGGCCCCTGATGGGGGAGGCAGCCACAGGTGGCCACGGCTCCCTCTGCTTTGGGCCTCCTGGGTGTGGGAGGGGCTTCAGGGAGGGAGCAGCTCAGCAGGCGACCCTGCGAGCCCCACATCTTCTCCTGCCACCACTCCAGACGCCCAGCTTCCGTGAATCTGTGTATCTATGTATCTATTGGCATGCTCCCCACTGGGGCCTCGGCTGCCACAAACTGCTGTCCCTGTGAGAAACCAGCCCAGACCCGTGCTCTGCACTGCGAACATGTAGCGAGAGCCTGCCTTGCAAGCCTCCTTGTGGGCAGAAGAAAGGGCTTCTTTCTCCTTTGCCGAGTGCCTGCTCTGTGCCCAGCACTGCCTTAGGCTCTGGGGGGACAAGGAAGACACCATCTCTGCACCCACGGACTGTCAGATGGAAAAAGAGAACATGTGAGTGCAAGCACGTGTGGCACAGGCTCTGTTCTGGGAAGCGCAGGAGTTGTAGAACCCCAGGGTCCTAAGAGGCGCCACATCTGGGGCAAAGAAGAGGCCATGCCTGAATGTAGCCTGTCCACTGCCTTTATCTTGGGGGACAGAAGAGAGCAGAAAGCAACCTTTGAGGTGTCCAGAAGGAAAACTGTGTGGGAACCCATTTCATGGGTTATACTGGACAGAAGTCCCCAGGACAGCCCTTCCCTGGTACTCCAGACATCCAAAGCAAATGACATTTTGTAATGAGACTGGTTATTCCCTAAAATAGTTGAAGGCTATAGAGTTTAAAAATAAAACTACCTGTTGCAAGTTGATTATCATATAGCAGTTTCTATTTAGGGAGAATTGGTTTATAAAACTCTATTTTTAAAGAATGGGATGGGGCAGAGGCTTGTATGCAGTCGTCAGGCTGAACATGAGAATAACACCAGCTGAGCCACGGGAGCAGGCTGGGTGGTCTCTCCAGGCAACCAGAGGGGGCTGAGCACGCACCTGCTCAGCCCTGCCAATGGGAGCTCAATCTTCCCCCCTCCCTCATACTCTCCACTGGACAAGGAAGGACCCTTTTCTCCTTGGCCCCCTGGGCTGCCAGACAAATATAGCTCCCTCTGCACCGTGGGATGAACTGAGACCTATCTGCAGTCACGAGATCCCAGAGATCCCACCCCTCTTCACATAAGGCCCTGCCACGTCTTCCCCTCTGTGTCCTGGGAGACTTGGAGGCAGTGTTAATGCTGACTGGTGTTTTGCCAGCCTTCTGAGCCATATTTCTATAAGGAATGTTCATCTAGCTCCACTTCCACAAGTAGGAAACTAGTCCTCACTCAGACTAACGCAGGGGCCGACGCATAGACGTGTGCTTTCACCTTTCTACTTCATATCCAAAGTCTGCAAAGTCTAACTCCATCCACCCAGCAGAACGCTGTGGCTGTAGCATCTGTTTTCTCACCACCAACAAAGACCCTCGTGCTCAACTGTGAGCAAAACTAACCTGAATTGCGTTTCCCCCTCTGGCTATTTGTCAGGTAAGACCCCCCCTCAGCACAGCACAGCAACTTCTCTGCCTGGAATGAAGACAGAAAGTCCTGTTCTCCCAGTACCCCCTCCCTGCTTACTTCCTGGGCAGGGATGGGCCAGACTCCTTTCCAGAAGGCAGCCCGTAGAAGCAGCTTGGTCTGTAGTAGGCCTGTCCTCTAAGACAGTGTCTCGCACTTTCTATCTTCCAGCAGCTCTGAGCTGGGACGTTTCCCAAGAACCTCTTTCCTCAAGCATGAAAAGCCCTGAGCACTCCCCACGTTGCACATCACTGAAGAAAGGCAGAAACCATCCTAGCCCACAACTTCATTTTATAAGAATCTTTTTATTTTATTTCATTTATTATTATTATTATTTTAATTTGACCACAAAGAGACAGCACAAGAGAGAAAAAGGGAGAAAGCAAGCCGCCAGGTCCCAGGACTCGAACCGTGGTTGGCCATGTAGGAGTTCAGTGCCTTAACCACCATGCAACCTACCAGCCCCTGGTCCACAAGTTTAATGGGTTGCTTTCCCACCCTGGGCTCTTGGGTCAGCTGAAATAGCTCCTAAGCTGCTGAATGAGATCCAGGGATCCCAGCCTGCTCTCCTGGGACAGGCCAGGCTCTTGGGGAACAACAGGAGGCAAGAAAGAGGTGAGTAACCAGTAAATGACACTCAAGGATAAACATCACAAATCGTAGAGGAGACAAAAGAGCCAAGACAGGGAGGCAGAGAGTGTCACTGAAATCCAAATCCGGGGTCAGACCAACACACAGCACAGCCACTGCAAAGGAAAGAGATGAATGTGAGCTCAGGCTTCCTGGGGGAAGGGTGGTACTTTTGTTGTGCTGTTCTCCAGCCTCACGTAGATATAATCTGTTTATCCCCACCCTCCTCTCAGTACCCTGCTCAGCCGTAGGAAGGGAGGAAGCCCCTAAATCATTAACTCCTAAGCCAGACCACTGTGGAACTGAGACTTAGAAAAAGCTTTTAGATCCACGAAGACAGGTGGCATGGATGTTAAGGCGCTGGATCCCACATGGCCAACTAGCAATGCCATAGGTGTCTTAATGTGGTATTGCTTACTTAACTGTGGTGACACTGGTGGAGACAAACCCACTGCACTGCCAGTTGGCTAGAAGTATAGCACATACAATTATGTACAGAATAGTTGATAATAATGACTATGTTAACTGGGACCAGCAGTTAGCGTAATGGCTATGTCGCTGAATTCCCACATAGTTGACTATGGTTCAAGTCCTGGATCCAGTGGCTTAAACTCATGCCAGGCACGTGTGCATGCGTGCCAAGATCCTGAGAGGAGAATAGAGGAGAAGGAATTGTGGTGTGGCCATCCCTCCTGGTGGGTGTTTCTTGCTTTCTATCTCTCTGTCTCTCTCTGTCTGGCGAGCGCACATGCCCTATAGCCTCTCTCTGTCTGCCGAGCGCACAAGCCCTAAAAAAAAAAAAAAAAAAAAAAAATGTATTCCTACTGATTAAAAAAAAAAAGTTTACTGGGCCAGCCTGGTGGCTATTGGTTAAGGGAGCTGGATCCCACATGGCCAGTTGTATGATTTGAGTCCCAGACCAGACAGCTTGAAAAAATGTGTGCATGCCCAAAATCCTGAGAGGAGAATAAAGAAGGGATTATAGTACGGCCATCCCCCTGGTGTGAAAAGGGTGCCCCTCACCCACAATTCCATTCAAATTAACATCCAAAGGGTTTGCATCTTTTTTTTTAAAAGAGGTTTTATTTATTTATTTATTTATTTATTTGCTATAGGGCACATGCGCTCGCCAGACATACAGAGAGAGATAGAGAGATAGAAAGCGAGAAACCACCCCCCAGGGGGGATGACCACGCCGCAATCCCTTCTCCATTCTCCTCTCGGGATCTTGGGCACTGATGCACACACGCCCAGCGTGAGTTTAAGCCACTGAGTCCAGGACACAAACCACGGTCAACTACATGGGAGTCCAGTGACATAGCCATTATGCTAACTGCTGGTCCTCCAGGGCTTGCATCTTTGGAATGATTTGAAACAGCTTAGTTTTATCTTTAAGATAATAAATAAATAAAGTTTGAAGGACTGCACAACAATCATTTTCCTCCCCATGGTGCCTGCATCAAACCTGCATCATATTCACAGGGACAAGACATTGATAGCAATAAACACCACTCAGTACCTATTCCACCCAAGCAAGCAGTTCAACAAACCTCAGGCCCTTTACCTCAGCCAGAGAGAGCTGGATGGTGCCATTCCGGTCCTTGTCCAGAAGCCTGAACAGCTCTAGAATGCCAGAGAAGGGGTGCATTGGATGGGCTGCCCCAGGACTTTGAGTCAGGGACAGAGAGCTGCCTCTGCCCACCCCATCCTCACCCAGGAAGCTCCCCTTACCCCTCACCTTTCCCCTACAGGCCCCTCCACCTCCCACCTAGCTCCAATGATCTTAAAAAGCCAACTCCAGATCCAGTGCCCAGCATGAGCTTTTTGGTGACATTCCCTCTTTTCAGATGGACAAACCCAGTTGTCAGCAGAGATGGTCCCTCTGTCACCTCCACCTCAGAAGCTTCATATCAGAAACTTGCAATTATTTTAACCAGGGCCCGGGTTGTAATCCTGTTCTTCAGCTGCATCTCTGGCTACCTGATCTTTTCCTTAGCACTTACACCTCCCACAACTCAGTGGAAAGAAACCCCCCTCCCATAACAAGATGTCTCATTGATTGTAATACAGCAGGGTCCCAAGGCCTGACAGAACACCTACTGCCTTTCATCAGGGGTTCCCATCCCCTAGCTAGGGATCCCCTTAACTGGTTCTCAATCTGATCCTTCCAAAGTCATAAACATGAAGAGGCACTAACAGCCGTAAGAACCATCACTGGGACTCATTGATCTTGGCCTAGTGACAGCTCCTGGCAGGTGCAGGGCAATCTGGATGCAAGGTTTTCAGTCTGAAAAAGAAAGGTGGCCTCTGATCTTGCATCTAGTCAGCTCCGTCTACCTCAATCCCTTCAATTTCTGCTTCCCCTTGCCCCAAGTTACAGAAGCCCCAGTGGTTACCTTGACCTCCCTGACCTCCTAAAGGCAATGTCAGGCTCTACCTCCTGGCCCTGACCCTGCACTCCCTACAGCTCAAGAGAACTAGGGTGGGGTTAAAGGAGAGAGCAGCTCACTGAAGAGGGTCTCCAGGCGGGTCAAACAGGAAACGAAGCCATCGAAGTCGATGTGGAGTTTGCTGTTCGCATACCGCAGGGCAATGGTCTGCTGCACCTGGTTGTCGAGAGTGAAGCCTGAGGGCAGAGAGACCTGGGTCACAGGTGAGTGGAGGACTCAGCACTGGCTCTGCCAGAAACTACAGTGCTCTGTGCGCATCTGCAAACCAGACCTGACTGTCTGCTCCAGGGGACCCCAGAGGCATCCTGTCATCAAGCCCATCTGCTTTTAGATCCTGCGTGTCAGGATTAGCTTCTTCCCTGGTCCAGTCTAGCTCCTAACACAGCCATGGGTCCCGTTGGCATCACAGCGAGTGAGAGCTGAGGCAGTGAGGGGACTGCCTGCCTGGCTAATCCCCTGCCTGTCTCCTCCGCAGCCTGCTCCATCCTCTAATCGCTGTCACCTTCCCTGTTACTACAGGCAGCATTCTTGGGGAAATAGTTGGGCTGCAGTAGCAAAGCGACTGGGCAAAGTCTTGTCACCACCTTGATGTCCAACCAGGACAACTACCAATGGAGCTCATTAGCAATCATCGCAGTGGGAATAACTTTAAAATGAGCTCATCAGGGGCCCAAGACATGTCCGCAGGACATCTCCTACCTGCCTTCTTGAGGGCTATCCTCATCTCATGGGCGTTGATGGTCCCCAAGTGGTTATAATCCATTTCCCGGTAGATCTCCTAAAGCAGAAGAAAAATCCCAGGTAGAAAACAGCCATTCGCTGCCCTGGCAAAGCCACCTCACTCCATCCCACTACTTCAACAGAAGGACGGGGGTGCACTCATGAAGAGGCCTCACTGACTCTTCCCGAGAAGGTTTCAGAACAAAGATAAGAGCTGGGGCTGAGACCCACCACGGGACCTTTGTCCTCTCAGTGGCCGGACGTTCAGTGCAGGGTTATGTGAGCTTCTCTTGTTGCCTCTCATTCCTTCCTGAACAACATGCCCAGGTTATGCTGATTTTGACCATGACTGAGGATCTACATAGACTAGACTCCAAAATAGACCAGGAATGGGTATCCAGCAGGGTTATAACAGAGGAGAGAAACCAGAGCCAGAGGGTACCAAGAGGAAGAAGACTTACCAGATACTTCTGCATCTTCAGCCAAAGCATCTTTAATTCCTCCAGTCCCAAAGTGCCTGTCCCATTGCTCTGGACATGTTAAAGGCCAATGTGATCGAGCCCAACCCTACAGGCCTCCCACATGTCTTTCTCTTGTGGCCATGCATGGGTGCCTTAAGGCCTTAGAGAGCCATCTATGCCTGCAGCAAGCAGAGATGTGGGGGTGATAGAGAGAGACCAACCATTCACTAAGGCTCTCCTGTAAGGTCAGGCACAAAGCTAGAGAGAAAGGGCAGGTCAGGAGCCTAAAGACCTCTAAGCAATATTATTAATTAGTTTCTAACACCCTAATCATCCTGGGTTATTGAAAGGGTTGAGTTATATGATCCATAAATTTGCTTCCATATTTAAATTTCTCTTTCTTTCTTTCTTTTTAAAATTTGCTAAAGGGCACGTGCACTCAACAGAGAGAGAGAGAAAGAGAGGAAAAGTGAGAATGCACCCCCAACCCCATGGAGCATGGCCAGGCCAAAACCCCTTCTCCATTTCTCCGTTTTTGGGCACACACATACGTACCCAGTGTGTTTTCTTTTCTTTCATTTTTTAAGGTTTTTGCCATAGGGCACATATACTTGCCAAGAAACAGTGAGAGATAAAGTAAGAAATCATTCCCAAGGGAGGGTAGCCACTCTGCAATCTCTTTTCTTCCATTCTCCTCCTGGAACTTTGGGCACTCACACACATGTTCCCAGTGTGAGTTTCAAGCCACTAGGTCTGGGACTCGAACCACAGTGAGCCACAGGGGAGTCCAGTGCCTTAACCAGCATGCCACCTGTTGGCCCCTATCCCAGAGTGTTTTTTCAAGCCACTGAGTTTGGGACTTGAACCACAGTCAGCAACATGCAGTCAAGCCACCTTACCTACCACCATCCCACAGGCTGGACCTCCATATTGAAATTTCTGTGGTTGACCATTCAGATCATTACTGCTGGTTGGAATATCAAATATGATTAGAAAAGTCATCAGGAGGCACAGGATTGGATTCTCAATCACACAATCCGATCACAGACCACTACATAACCAGAGCAAGTGGGGGGTTATGTGGATTTCTCTGTGTCCAACTTACATTCGTTCCATAAATGTTCATTAAGCACTATGCTAGACAATGGGAATTGAGTTTTGAAATGGCCTTACCTTTACGGAGTTACGTCTTTTTAAACTCTACCCTTTTCTCACCAATCACAAAGAATCAATAAATAGCAATGTGTTATGGCACTGACATGAGAACTCTGAAATAGAACATCACTCCCACCTCCTTCAACTAGCCAGAGCCGTTTTTACACCAGAGTGGAGATTTCATCCTTTAAGAAAGTCTCTGTTCTCCTGTGTTTAACACTCAGTCTCTATGATCCACAGAGTGTTGAGTGCACCACATCCTTCACACCCTTACGAATAATTCAGCCACTCTCAAAGGAGTAGCATGCTACGGAGTTAGCTCTGTGCCTAGGCACTTTCTGTCTTTATCTCAGTTCATCTATGCAACAGCCACACAAGCTAGATGTCGTGATGTCATTTTTCAGGAGGGGAACTGAGGTTCAGAGTATTACCAACTTTCTCAAATTTATATACCTAGTAAGTGCTGAACTCTGAATTTATACCCTTATGTCTTCCAAAGCCTTGTCCCAGATGGAAATGCCTACAAAGACCAGACCTATTGAATCAGGATCTCAAGAGTGAGACTCAGGCAATTGTCCAGTTAAAACTCCAGGGCTGATGTATCAACAGTACTGATCCGTGCTATGGTACTCAGCACATCATGCTGAGTGTGATAAGCCAGCCACTGGGGACCACATAGTATACAATCCCATGTATATGAATGTCCACAGTAGACAAAGTCATAGAGACAGAAAGTAGACCAGCGGTTGCCAAGGGAGGGGAAATTGGAAGGAAATGGAGGGTGACTGCTAGGATGAATACAGGGTTTCTTTAGGGGGTGATGAAAATGTTCTACTTATGTGGTGACGGCTGTACAACCTCGTGAATATACAAAAAACCATTGAACTGTATGCTTCAAATGGTACATTGTATGGTTTGTAAATTATATTCAATAAAGCTGTTATTTTTTTAAAGACTCCATGAACAGATCTGCTGCATACCATGATTCAGAACCACTGCTCCATACTATTCAAACTATGGGATAAGGAGTCTAAAGAATGACAGAGAATTATAGTACTCCCAGAGCTGTCAGAGATGCAAGCACTAGTGGAAACAATGGGTGACTACAAAGCAATTCTCACATCTAAACAGAAGTCAGACCCAACTGCTGTGGTGAAGCAGTCACACAAGTGCCCTGCACGTCCTTGGGTACCCAGGATCCTGAGGACCTGGAGGACGCAAGTGCCCTGCAAGGCCCTGGGTACCCAGGATCCTGAGGACCTGGAGGACTGAGAAAAGAGAATTGCAGCACAACAAGACCTTACCAAGGGTATCTCTCCCTGTCAACCTCTCTCTCTTTCTCTCTCTCTCTCTCTGACAAGACCCTACTAAGGGTATCTCTCTTTGTCAACCTATCTCTCTCTCTCTCTCTCACACACACATACACATACACGCAAACACATGATCTCTATCAGAAAAATCTAAATTGATAATTTAGACTATTCTAAACAATTCAGAAACCAAGCAAAGCATATCAACACATAAGAGTTCTCTGTGGCCTACAAATTAAACTGTTATCTACAGGTCTATGAAAAGGCACAAGGGCTGAAGAACCCTGGTATCATACAGGGAGAGGCCACCTGAAGTTCTGGGCCCACTAGAGACTGCCACCTCTCCATGGTTTAGAAGAGAGGTCAGCACACATGCTCTGTTACTTATGACCACTCTGCATAACCACTACACAAAGGAAAATCATTCTCCCTGCCCACAGTTAGTAAAGGAACCTTGCAAAAAAAAAGGTTGTTAGGTCTCATCATAGATGAAGTCTGAAGAGCTGAAGCGATCCCTCCAAAGTTCTAGTTTTTAAAGAAATGGTCTTTGCCATCAGCACTGAATTGAACAGCAACCTGAACCCACCCTAAGCAAAGCTTTAAGGAAGTGATGTTGGGTCATTCACCCTCAGTCTCACACGTAGAATGTTCCTCCCACCTAGAATGCCCTAACCTCCTCTATTCCTCCCCCAAACTCCTACCCCTTTGCTATAGACTGTTTATTTCCAAAAAAAGTCATATGTTGAAACCTAATACCAGTGTGAAGGTATTAGGAGGTGCAGGTCTTTAAGAGGTGATTAGGTCATGTGGTTGAAGTCCTTATAAATGGGATTAGTGCCCTTATAAAAAGGACCCCAGAGAACTCCCTTTCCCCTTCCACTACTGACAGCCATCTATGAACCAGGAAGTGAGCCCTCACCAGACACGAAATGTGCCTATGCCTTGATCTTGGACTTCTCACCCTCCAGAACCATGAGAAATAAATTTCTGTTGTTTATAAACCACCCAGCTTATGGTACTCTGTCAAAGCAGCCTGAACAGACTAAAGCACCATTCTTCAATATAAAGTGAGAATTAAATTAGATCAGTGAGAACAAACGGGTTTTATCTTGGGTGATATTTCTAAACTATGGTAGCCACTGTCCAAGAGCCATGTTAATTCTGAAATGAAAATCAGATAACACGGGAAGAACCCGGGCAGTGGGGGGGGGGTGAGGGGATGGATTGAGGATGGAAGGGGCAGTTGGGGGGGTGAGGGGATGGATTGAGGATGGAAGGTAGGAATGGGGCACAGAGCAGAAGCACTGATTAACAGAGTGTGGGGGGATTTCTTTTTTTTTTTTTTTTTTTTTTTTTTGGAGAGGTTTTTGCTATAGGGCACGTGCACTTGCCAGAAAGAGAGAGACATAGAGACAGAAAGTGAGAAATCACCTCCCAGGGGGGATGGCCACGCTGCAATCCCTTCTCCTCCATTCTCCTCCCAGGATCTTGGGCACGCATGCACACACGCCCCATGTGAGTTTAAGCCACCGGACCCGGGACTTGAACTGTGGTCGACTACATAAGAGTGCGACACAGCCATTACACCAACTGCTGGTCCTCACGCTGGCTATCTCTAAGCCACATGATTTTAAATAACTCTCTTAAACACTACATGCCTCAGTTTCTTTAATGCTAAAAGGGAGATAATCTCAAGCTTACTGAAGATCGCAATGAGATGATAGATTTGTCTTTAAATCTTCAAGCATGACACCTGACATTTTGCTCAATAAATCTTGTTTTCCTTCTCATTTTTTCTTTTTTCTATGGCTATCTCTAAGCCACATGATTTTAAATAACTCTCTTAAACACTACATGCCTCAGTTTCTTTAATGCTAAAAGGGAGATAATCTCAAGCTTACTGAAGATCGCAATGAGATGATAGATTTGTCTTTAAATCTTCAAGCATGACACCTGACATTTTGCTCAATAAATCTTGTTTTCCTTCTCATTTTTTCTTTTTTCTACCCTTCCTATCCTTCTTAATAGAAAAGGTTAAGGAGTCTTTAAAAACAGAACAAAAGTAAAAACAACATGACGTGTAAAGGATACGTCCAACAGACTGATCATCTCCCTGCAAGTGTTGATGTTGAACCCATCGAATTTTATGTCTGCTCCTAAATATTTAAATAGAAAAGAAGGGCGGGAATCAGGATTGTTGACACCAAAGGACATAACATTGGTAGAAAACCACAAAGACACCAGCCAGAGTATGGAGTGGAGCAGGGTCTCCAATAAAGGGACGAGCATCAGGTCGGGCTCGTGAGCAGATGCCCCCGAACCTCCTCACACCCTGGTCCAGACAAGCACCAGCATCAGGTTCAAGGTCTGAGTCCCTAACCTTGCTACAAATCAGACTTCAGCAAATTAATGTTGCTGAACTTTAGTTTCCTCTTCTATTGGGTGGGAATAATCATTATAATAATATTGACAGTATTTGCCCCAAAGACTGGTTGGGCATTAATTGAGATCATATAACTGAACAAGCCCTCATGCTTGGTATATAAGTTCTTAATGAAACAGCTAACTTTTTTTGGCGAGGTATTGTCCAAGTACTGTTCATGTACTCTTCAGAATAATCCCATGTTCCCATGTGGTAGATGCTATCACTGTCCCCATTTTATAGATGAGAAAACCGAGGCCCAGAGAAATTATATAATTTGCTCAAGGTCACACAACTAGTAGGAGCAGAGGTGAGATTTACACACAAGCTCCACAGCCTGTGCTTTTCACCACAACACACAGCTGCTCAGTGACAGCTGTTAACCCCACCTGCTAAATTGCAGGGATCTCCCTAGGGACTCCAGCCATTTCTGGCCTCCACTCACACCTTCCTCATATCCAAGGCCATCGCTGAAGACCCTGCAGCTCTCTCCTCTCCACTCCCCTTAGCAATGGCAGGTGCAAGAGTGAGGCAGAGAGTGAAAGGGCTGTCCGGAGCCCTGGGCAGCTGCTCAACCCCATGTCTGTCCTGGGAAAAGTTCCACTTGAATGCTTGGCCAAACCACATTTCCTACATTCACCTGCCTGGCTCTGCTGCCTTGGGTGAGTGAGAGTCCATTACTCAACCAGCTGGGAGACAACCTGGCCCAACTCTGGACCAGAAGAGAAACTGGCTCCATGCTGGCTCCAATGAGGTTGGAGTCAAGAAGGAGAGGAGAATTTCTCCTGGGCACAGGGTGACCCTCTGACAGCCCCCACGGCTTGGTAAAGTCTGAAGATAGGGAACTGAGTGCAGCCCAGGATGGTCAGAATCATCCCTTCCACCTCCCTTCCCCAGAGATGCGCTACAGAACAAGATCTTTAATGTACAGAGCTATCAAAGTTACTCATTTTATAGGGGGAAAAAAAACTGATGTAAGACGAACGCCACCCCAGCTTCGTCCCTCCCAGGACTCAGCACGTGATTTCATTCCACATCACGGGGCATTACTCCTGCCCCACTGGCTGGTCTCCCACACCAGTCCACCCTCACCTCCACCCAGCACCTCCCTCCATCCTCTCCTGCCTCCTGGTTCTTGTTGGGTGTAATGGGACCCTGGGGTCAGAGGGCAAAGGCCCTTCCTGCACTTACAGTGCTCTTGGCCCAGTGGCTGTCTGTCCCCTCCCTCAGTCCCTCCCCTGCATCTCTCTTGAGAAAGGCCCTAAGGAGGAACTTACGTTTGGAAAACTCCCCATTCAGAATCGTCTGGAGCTCATTGGCACTGACTTCAGAATCCTAGAAAGAGGAACCAGCAGTTAGCGTAATGGCTATGTCGCTGGACTCCCATGTAGCTGAACGTGGTTCGAGTCCGGGACCGGTGGCTTAAAACTCACGCCGGGGACGTGTGTGTGCGTGCCAAAGATCCCCAGAGGAGGATGGAGGAGAAGGGATTGCGGCATGGCCATCCTCCCTGGGGGGTGATTTCTCGCTTTCTGTCTCTCTGTCTCTCTCTGGCTGGCAGGCGCACACGCCCTATAGCAAAAACCTATCCAGAAAAAAAAAAAGAGGAACCCAAATGTGCATCACATCAGGTTCTGACCA